AACTTCAACTTTTTGCCTGCACATATTTTTAACACACTGTAAATCATTTAAAAATTTTCTTTGTCTTTGAATCTCTCTTTACTCTATATCTCTCTTTGTTTTTTTGACCACATGAGTCTTTAATTTACACAGCAATCTCAGTAGGACTAAAGAGGTGGCTTTGCCTTCTAGATGTAGCCCATTCCTTAGCTTTCTGCCATTCCAACCTTATGGCTGTGGTACCAGCCAGGGCCGCATTCAGTGCCCCAAATCTATAGTGTTTCAAGGTCCAAAGACAACACTCAAGCCCTCTCTTTGTAGCTGGCCCTCCTGACTCAAACAGTCAGAGTTTGTTCTGGCAGGATGGCCCAGAATTCCGGCATTTTAAAACATCACAGTTTTTTTTTCCTGCTACTGCTGAAAACAAACAAGCATTCAGCTGGCTTTTATCAACACCATTTAAATGTTTCTTGGCAGTAGCCCTTAACAGCTGCAGGGTTTTGCAGCTGAAGGTGAGTCAGGAATCTTCTCTTAAATGAGTGTGCTTGCTTGCTTCTAGCAAGTAGAGCAAACCCGAGATATAGCTGCTAAAAAGAAAACATGCTTTACTCTTTCCCGAGCTTTCTCAGGCTTTCAGTGGATTCCTCCCAGCATTCTGTTCTCTTTTTCTCCCCACCTATGATCTAAACTAACAGGGGAAGCAGATTCTTTATTTAATTAAGCAATGTCCTTCTTCCATCACTTTATCCTTTCAAGAGTTGCCCAAATAAATCTCCCAAGTCTCTTCTGCTGTATAATCTTTCATTTGTAAAGAACTTGCCTTTTCAGAGGAGGATTTTTTCTGACATCTCTGTGGATGGAGATCATATGAAGAGTATCAGATGAGCAACCATGACAACTCTTATGCTGTACAGTTAGGTGGACCAGAGATTGATTGCTGACAATCCTGTGCTATGTGTCAGATGCCCATGAACTCTGCCCATGTTGAGGACAGGCAGACATCAAGGTGGTCCCACATACTTAACTCATTCAGTGTTCACAGATCATGTAGATTGAGTTCTAATTCTTGACCTAAACTAATAAAAAAAACAAGATTAGGAGAAGAGAGGAGCCTGAAGTAGGGCCACCAAATGGGTCATTTGCAAATGTACGGTTACCTGCCTCCATGTGTGCTTTCTCCTTTCATTAGTCAAATCCATCCTTCCATAGATTAGCTATAGGCAAACCAATTTCTCGCCAACAGCTAAGCATAGGTTTGAACCCAACAGCCTTTGATTTCTGAAATAAGTGCTGTCCCCTTAAGGTCTCATAACAACAGAGGAAGTTCCGTAAGACTGTCCCAACAACAATTTAAAGCTATTTTAGGACACCACAGATGCAGCAAGTTATGTTTATTGGTAATAAACATGGTTCAGATGGGACAAAAGAAAAACAGATTGGTGTACTCACGATGATTTCATGTGATTTGGCACACACAGGCTTCTGGTTCTGAATACTGCATGCTCAGTGGGTTTTGGAGACTGTGGTGACCCTGAACCTAGCTGGAGGCTTTGGGGCCTGATAGGACAAGCCTTGATATGTCAGGACATCCTTGTCCTTGGTTTCCACTCTTTACTGATTTCCATTCAGAGAAGGAGCAGACATCTACTCCTGCTGCCATGCCTCCCCACATGAACAGAAAGAACACCCTCCACACCCAGGTTGCTTGTATCATATATGAAGGCATAAGTCACAAACAAGCTCCTACACCAGTTTAGAATTGTGATTAATAGAATGATTATTTCTTTAAAGGGCAAAAACTTACAGATGACCATCCCTGAAAAAAGCCCTCAGCGGGATCAGCAAAGAAGGCTAGCAGCTGGAAGGGACACTGGAAGCAAGAGAACCAGCTGAAGGGAAATGTTGGTTTATGAAAGAGAGGGAGACCACACCTCAATGGGCTGGTATCTCAGTGGCTATTGGCTGAAGGAGTGGAAGAAACACATGCAACACACTTATTTGGATATTGCAAAAAAAAAATGTTACTAGATTGTGAGAAAAAAAACTATATTAGTTTATTTATTTCAGTCCTTCCAGATACATCACAGAGATAGGATCTCTTCATGCATGAGAGTCACCGATGATTTCCCTTTAAGAAAAACCCCAAAAAACTCCCAATAACATCATCAGCATTCAAAAACATGTCTATGATTGCTTTGCCTTGCCTTTGCTTGTCAGTAAATGATGCTGCTAGTTAATCTGTGCAAGCAATGTAAATTTCCCTGTAACTAAATAGACAGAATTGACAGGTTATCTTAAACACATCAGGGAGTCACTACGATGGAATGGGTTAATCATCACCACTGGGAGAGTGACATATTTAAGATCTTTCCTTTGTGGATATGTTGTCATACAGATTTCTTAGGGTTTTGTCCCACTGGTGGTTTCCTTGGTATGCTTCCATAATTTTTGCCAGATCCAATCAGTTTTGCCATGCACTCTCAGCTCCACATCATTGTGTTCCCAATATGTTCTTGTCCAGGCATTTTAGACATCTTGAAACTGTTGCAAGAGTATCTCATGTTCCACCTAAATGATTTGGAGTGTTATTTAGGCTGAGTTTTATCTTCCATCCATGAGTTCATTGACTTTCCATGGGCGTAATTCCTGGGACACTGAGCCTAACTCCTGGGGGATTCCTCTAGTTACTTCTCCTTGCTGAGACAGCTTACACTCTCAGTACTATTATGACAGTATTTCTGTAGCAAACATTCTTCTCAAGATGAGAAGAAATTTCAATATTACAATCCATTTGTTTTTATTGTGATTTAAACACACACACGCACACACACACACACACAAGTTAATGCACATACACTGATGATATTAATTGAGTAGGCCATTCTGGGGTTGTCAAGATCATTATCGCTCGAGGGGTTCTTAGAGGCATGGGGTGACCCCCTAGAGGAACTTGGGCAGGTGAGGAGAGGTTGACTGCACTGTGCCATGTCTATAGTCACAATGGGTGCCTTATCCTATAGTCAGACTGATGACTATCTTGAATATCACCATGGAACTTTTGTATGGCCAAGATGGAGATCAAGTCAGGGTAAAAATCAGAAAACTAGATGGAGCTTCCAAGCTCCAGTTGAATAGCCGACTGATGGAGAATAAGAGCAAGGATGTCAGGAATAAAATGGCTTGGTCCACACACTGAGACACTGTGCCTGAACAAAGGGGGTTTCAACTAAACCAGTGGCCTGGGAATGAAAGAACATGGAATCAAAGTGGAAGCTCTGAATGTGGCTGACAATTGGACCAGACTGAGAAGCCAATGATAATGGCACTGACATTTGTCTGCACTTCATATACAGGCTTTTTTGTGATCATATTCTATGTCTATGCTTGCCTTCCTAAATCTCGATGGATGAAGGGTAGGCTTGGACTTCAAACAGGTCAAGGTACCCCGCCCTCAATTTAAATTGGAGTAGGAGTGGAGAGGTTTGGTGGGGGAGCGAGAAGAAAGTGGGAGGAGTAACCAAAGTGGAAATTTTGATATTCATAATTATGAAGTAACATAAAAATCAATAGTAGATAACCAATAAATAGATTGGAGCTAGAAAAAAAAACATTCATGTGAGTTGCTGAATCAGACACCAAAGACTTTTTTACAGAAAAAAAACACATAAAGGGATTGAGTTACTTGGCAAAATATGACTCATGTATTTGGGAAGATGAGTGGGGTTTTTATTTTGGGTCTCCAGGGGGCTGTGTGAGCAGCATTATAGGACCTGCATGCTGGATATTTCTGAGGGTTAGTAGGGAAGAAACCTGCCTATGAGGGGTTTTACGACATAAGTAGAGCCTTGGTGATGTCACAAAGCTATGGTTGGGGGTGGCAACTCTGTTCCACATGAATCACTAGTCTTCTGTGAAGGTGGGCTGACTATCTTCACGGTGGCTGAGGAGGTGAGTTCAGCTCTTGGGCTCCACAACTGTTCAACAGGATTAGGCAGCTGAACATTTCCAGAAGATGGAATCTGGAGAGCCAAGACATTTTCTTTTGGTAAATATGTTTAGGAAGCAACTGTGAACTCTGTAGTCCCAGAGAGATTTCCTTCAAATCTCCTGTGAGTCTAAAATTTATGTTGTTAACAGCTTCTATATTTGATAGCTGTGGGGACGGTGAATGCCATGTATTCTTCCCACTTTATCTTTGCTATCAATGTCCAATTCATCAGTCCACGAAAGTGGCAAAGATCCTCTTTGTCCATATGTGTTTTAAAAGGTATTAATTATTTCTAAATGGTGCTATTGCCCAGATTAATGAGTCTTTATTTTTGCAGTTTGTCTCACAAAACTCACTTCTCTAATGAAGACATGGAATGGCTTTATGTAATAAACCTGGGTCTGGATCAGGAGACACAATACAGAGAGCCAATGGACTGGAGTGTCATGACCTTGGCCAGGTGGTTTTGGATCCACCACCTAACCAACAGCTTGAGTGGGAAGGAGAGAAGTGGCTGTCCTTCGAATTCTTTGCCATCTGTTCAGATTTTTCTTTCTCACTTTGGGCATAGGCATACAGTCTCCTCTCATAGACACAGTGAGTCAGAAATTAGGTTTCTCAGTAGAGGTCCATTGCCTTTGGGCAGCAGGAATGTGTCTCTGATACACATATACTGAGCTGTAGACAATAGTTTGATAATTTTCCTATGAATCTCTAAAGACCAAATTACATTTAGGCAGCCCAAATCTATTCAGCACTGCCTTTGTCACCTTCCCCAAAGATCTTCCAGAAAAGAATCTTGACATCGCATCCTCCCCTTCTTAACCTTGCAGGCACTTATGGTGGAGGAAAAGACTTTGTGTCTGATTGAAACTGAAGAATTCTTCCAATGCAGAGATTGGCAGCTATGAAGCCCAAGCACAGAAAGAGAGCCAAGAGACAGTGGAACAGGAGTGTTGTGGCCTATCTCAGTAAATCTACCACCATGATAAACATGCCTCTTATTATGAGATGCATGCCACCTCTCCAGAAGAAGAATGGGCCAACTCTCCAGAAGAAAAACCTGAGTAAGGCTTTTGAGGCCCTGGAGAATATTGTTGGCCACAGAATTTCTCATGGCTGGAAGGAAGCCAATGAACCAGTCACCCAGTGGAAAGCCATCATTCTAGATCAACTGCCTACATATCCCTCTCTCTATTTGTTGAAATATGATGGGATTGATTGTGTCTATGGCTTGGAGCTTCACAGCGATGAAAGGATTTTAAACCTTAAGATCCTGCCTAACAATGTGCCATTTCCTCAGGTGACAGACACTCATCTGTCAAACACCATAGTTGGCAGTGCAGTGAAACATATATTCACGGGCACAAATGGCTCTAAGGAAGACTGGAATGGGATGGTCCTAGAGGAGGTGCCAATCATGAAGACCTGGTTCTATATTACCTACAAGAAAGATCCGGTCTTGTACATTTACCACCTCCTGGATGACTACCTTGAAGGCAACCTCCACATCATGCCAGGCTCTATGGGGGAGTGCAGTGGCGTGGTCCCAGATGAGGTGCAGACCATGATGACCTGTTTCTACATTGTCAAGGAGAATGATCCAGTCCTGTACCTTTACCACCATCTTGATGACTCCATTGAAGGCAACATCCACATCATGCCTGAATGTCCTCCAGTAGAAGTGACTTTGGAATTAGGCAGGGATTCCTTGGCAGGCAAAAGTGTGCAGTACAACAAAAAAGATGGAACCCAAGAGATAGGTAAAATTATTTGCCAAGTTCCCACCAAACCTTCTGTGTGTTTCATCAAGTTTAATAATGACTTCCAATTCTATGTCTATGATTTGGTTAATATCTGATAAAGTGAAATTCTCAAATTTTGAGGGGCACACTTAAAACAGTGTTTGGGGAATGTGTTTTTTTTTCAGAGATACCTCCGGTCTTCTATTAATCCTGGTATTTTTTCCAATGGAATATTCTTGCTCGCAAAATCAAAATTTGTGAACATGTTGTGTTCTTTGATGAATGATGGATTGTGTTTTGTGGATGGGACATCACAGAAATACATGCCTCAAAACAAAGCAGGATTTATGGTCTTTCCCCTTGGAGAGGATGGACTGGGGATGCTTGGTGTGGTAAAGGACAAGATGGCTGTCTAGAAAATAGTGGAGAGGGGACAAATAGTTGTAGGATCTCGGGGAGGGATAAAGCTTGAGGGAAAAACATGTCAAATGGAAAGATGTGACAGATATCAGAGTGAGCTATTGAGACTTTAGAGGATAAAGAGTAGATTAATCAGGAAGGGACACAAATGTATACTCAAAATCATAGAAAATTAGGTTTCATTTGATGAATAGTATAATTCGTACTGGCTGTAAGTCACTGGATGTTTGATCTCCACTGGAGCCTGTTGAGTGACCAGGAGCCTCCTGCTTAGAGAAAAGTGTCTACTCCCAGTTGCTCTTCTGCAGTGGGATGGACGTCAAGCTACCTACTTCATTTTGTCAGAATTCTATCTGCCACCTACTTTGTCATGCCTGGATTCGGTATGCCTTGAACTCTCATAGGTCCTTTGCATGCCATCCAACCCTTGTGAGTTTATTTAAATAATTGCCCTGCCATATCTGGAAAACAGTGTTCCCTTTCATTGATCATGTTCTGTAGGACTTGGGCTATAAATCTCATCGACAGACGCATCCACACACAGGATAAACATGTACACATTGATGCCCACTAATGTGTGACATGCACACATACGATGAATGCACCGATCTCCATCAAATCATTAAACTAGGGAATCCCTGATGCTAGTTGGAGTGTGGCAAAGACCCCACAAACCCAACATAACCCCAAATACCAGTATGGTATTGATGTCTGACTCCCATCATGTAAGGACCCTGTCATCCTGTAAAGGGGCGATTTTTTCTTCCTTCATCTTCACAAACTTGGTTAAAATGTTAGAGATGTCAAACTGCCAGTTCGGGTCCAGCATGTAGATCAGCTGTCCCAGGTCAGGTGATTTGGCTACAATTTGCGTGAGAACTTGTACCATGGCATTCTGGATAATTTTTCTAATATGTTCATGGATACAGTTTGCCAGTATTTTGTTGAGGATTTTTGTGTCGACGATCATGAGTGAGATTGGCGTGTTATTCTCTTTATTGGTTGAGGCTTTGTGTAGTTTTTGTATCAGAGTGACTGTAGCTTCATAAAAGGAATTTGGCAATAACACTTCTGTTTCTATATTGTGAAATACATTAAGGAGTATAGGTATCAGCTCTTCTAGGAAGTTTGTCTGGCAAATGATGGAGATCATGTCAGGGTAAAAATCAGAAAACTAGATGGAGCTTCCAAGCTCCAGTTGAATAGCCGACAGATGGAGAATAAGAGCAAGGATGTCAGGATTAAATGGCTTGTTCCACACACTGAGACACTGTGCCTGAACGAATGGGATTTCAACTAAACCAGTGGCCTGGGAATGAAAGAACATGGGATCAAACTGGAAGCTCTAAATGAGGATGAAAATTGGGGCAGATTGAGAAGCCAATGATAATGGCACTGGCATTTGTCTGCACTTCATATACAGGCTTTTTGTCATCCTATTCTATGTGGATGCTTATCTTCCTAAATCTGGATGGATGAAGTGTGGGCTTGGACTTCCCACAGGTCAAGGTACCCTGCCCTCTATTTAGACTGGAGTTGGAGTAAAGCGGTTTGATGGAGGAGCGAGAAGAAAGTGGGAGGAGGAAAGGTAATGGAAATTTTGATATTTATTATTTATGAAGTAAAAATCAATAGAAGATACCCAATGAAGAGATTGGAACTAGGAAAATAAAAACATTCATTTGAGATGTTGACTCAGACACCAAAGACATTTTACAGAATAAAACACATAAATAGATTGAGATACTTGGCAAAATATGACTCATGTGTTTGGGAAGATGAGTGGGGTTTTTATTTTGGGTCACAGGTGGCTGTATGAGCAGCATTATAGGACCTGTATGCTGGGTATTTCTGTGGGTTAGTAGGGAAGAAACCTGCCTATGAGGGGTTTTATGTCATAAGTAGAGCCTTTTTCTACCGTGTTCCCTTTCATTCATCATGTTCTGTAGGACTTGGGCTAGAAAACTAATGAACAGTCTCACCCACACACAGGATAAACATAAACACATTGATGCATACTGGTTTGTGACATGTAAACATATGATGTATGCTCTGAACTCCATAAAATCAGTTAACTAGGGAATCTATGATGTGAAGTGGAGTGTGACAAAGACCCCACAAACCCATCAGAACCTAATATACCAGTATGGTATTGATATCTGACTTCCATCATGTAAGGATCCTGCCATACTGTAAAGGGGCGATTTTTCATTGTTCGTCTTCACAAAGTTAATTAAAATATTAGAGTTTTCAAGCTGCCAGTTAGGGTCCAGCATGTAGATCAGCTTTCCCATGTCAGGTGATTTGGCTACAATTTGGGTGAAAACTTATACCAGGTTATGATGGTACACCCTCCCCCTTCTTCTCGCTGTCCTCATCGTCACTCTCATGTGTGGCCCTGGAGCACAAAGAAGGCAAAATGGAATAAGCCTCCTCTTTAGTATAAAACCTTGTCAATCCTCAATTTGGCCTGACTCTCAAAGGGAATGCAGCACATTTTATCCTACTAGGTCTCCTCATTCATTGGTTCACTCATTTATCCAATGAATGATTGAATTCATCCATTCTTCCATGTCTCTCTCTCTCTTCTTCCTTACCTTCTTCCATTTCCCCGTTTATTGTAGTAACTTGAGCAGCGGGGCTGCATCCCCAGCACCATGGCCGCCTCGCTAGCTAATGCCCTGAAATAACAACACAAAAACTGTATTCTTTTAAACACTGCCTGGCCCATTATTTTCAGCCTCTCAATGCATTTCTAATAATGTATGAAGCACCACGAGGTGACAGTAAAAATTCAGCATGTCTGACCTGTTGGCTGGCTGTATCACCATCTGCCTCAGAGAGCAGAGCTATAGCATCTGCCTGAGTAGGGGAGCATGGCGTCTCTGAGCTCACTGCCCATGCAAGGTGATTTGTTGAGATTCCGTCTCAATTGCCATTGGCTCCATTAGATATGTGCTCAACAATTTAGAAAGCCCTGTCTGTGGTGATGACATTACTTGTGTCTTGAAGAGGAGGACACACTCATGGTCATCTGCTGCTCTCACCCATCTAAATGCATCTCACCTTAGCAGAGACTGATTTTGTTTTATCATAAAAAGAATTCCACTTTACTGCCTTAAAGAAAAACTTAATGAAGATCAGTCAACAAGAATGGGAAACAAGTCAAAGGTGGTTACCAGGTGGAGTGGATTTCTGAAAATAAACTGTATATTCAGAGTATCCGTTGAGAATCTCCTTTTTAATATCATCCTGCATCTGGAAGGCCAACAGCTCTCTATTAAGCCATATTTATACATATTTTCAGGGAAAAAGGTTGCATACAGAAAATATACACAGGATCTGGAATATGGTTTCTTTCTTCTCTGTTATGCTTGAAAAACTATTTTATGTTTCATTTTATTTGAAGCACAAAATATAGGATTAACTGTATTAAAATGAACACTTGATTGGTAACATGGAAAAGTTTTTCTTTATGTTTTTACAATATAATTCTTCTGTGGTTCGTTAATGTCTGCTTATCATCTATTGCCCCAACATGATTAGTTAAAGTTTAACATCAGGATGTACGTAATGTAGAATGGTGTCTAATGGGGTTCAACCTGTTGGTGTCAATTGCCTTTTGTGGTCACAGAAGGTTTTCATGAGAAATAAGGACACTCTTTAACAATTCATTATGTGATTATATTTTTCATTTTTCAGAGAAAGTAAGCTTGACACCTCTAACAAGTGAGGTCTAATATTTGCTTGTCCAATAAGAATATCCCAATTTGGTGGTCACAGGAAGAAAATTGTAGACCTTCTGGGTCAAAGTTATGGCATACCAATATTCAGGCAAAGCTTGAAAATACCTGTGGAACCTTGGCTATCAGGGTTTTTTTTAAATTCTCTTGGCAAAAAATGAGCTTCCCGGGGCAGAATGGGAATGTCCAAGTATCATTACCTCCTGGAAGGGTCAATGGGGCTCTTATAACCACAGAGGCAATATTGCTCAAAGGTGGATATCTGTTTCACCCTTTATTAACATGGGAAAGAATGATGTTCCATATTTTCAAAGCCCACCCTTATCTGGAACACAACTCCTTTGAATTACATTTTAAAATGCTTTACTTCAATAGACCTCTGTGTAGGACAGGACAAAAAACAGGCTCCATAGGTACAAAGCCTTTATCCTCTCTTCTGGACAGCATACAGTAGTCCATCCACACTGGAGAGCCACTTCTTCCCTCTCCTCCCACAACTTTCATTATCAAATCATACTTTGGTTCTTCCTCATGATAACTGCATACAGTAACTCTGCCCCAGCAAATTCATTGTGCTTATCCCTTCTTAGATCCTGGTCAAAACTGCTCTTTCTCTCATGTAAGAACCTTCTACTTCATGCAATGCTTCTCCTTCTCACTCTCTCTCTCTCCCCTTTGGTTCTGCTTAGTGTTTCTATGCCATCCTTGTTTCACTTGGTCTCAGAGCTGGCAAGCTCATTCTACCCCCATGAAGACTTAAGCCAGTTTTACCCTAAAGCAAATTTCCTTGCACAAATGAATGTTTGAGTTAGGCAGTGGTGACACACCCTTTTAATCCCAGCACCCTCGGTGCAGAGGCAGGAGGATCTCTGGGATTTCGAGGCAAGTCTGGTCTACAAGAGCTAGTTCCGGGACAGGAACCAAAGCTAAAAAAACCCTGTTTCAAAAAAAAA